TCATTTTATACATTTGCCTCATCTTGCTTTAGCACCATTAGAACTGATGTTTGATTGTGATGATAGATTACAGCAAGTCTCTGAAGTATGGGGGAAGCCAATTTGCTAATTGGTTAACTGCTTGGGTTTTGACTGAACTTTTAAATCTTGCTGGCACCAACTTGTGACCAACTCTGGTTAAGTCTATGTTGCAGTAGGGGACATAGAATGTTTTTACGTAGACTTGCAAATGTCTGGGATTCCCCATTTCAAATGTAATTTGGTGTATTATGTGAGTCATGATAATGTAAATGTAGTTTACAATTACCAAATTACGGTAGTAGCTAAATACGAGTAATTTACAAAAAAAGTCTGCTAAAATAATGGGACGATTCACTACGTTCAATTACCCACCATAGACTCCAGTCAGTCAAAATGACTGTTTTGAACTGTAGGCATTAATCAGCGATTCTGCCGGTGACGGAGAGATAGAATCTAGGTCAGGGGAAGCCCCATGACCTCAAGATTATTTTACCCCTTACGTCACGAAACCACGTGACCGAGGCCACATGGCAACGCCATAGGTAGCCATCCATCACTCTTCAATTCTCTCCGCCTCGTCGGGGAATGATTCTGAGCGGCTCTGCCTGGCTTTTGTTGCTTTTTCCTGTCCGGGTTTCTAGCGTGGGTCGTCGCCGCAGCCGCGGCATCCGACATTCTAGCTGGTAGGATAAGTTTTTCTTGTCTTTTTACCCTCGTGTCGTTTTCCCCTTTGTGTATTATGCTATTCCACAACAAAGAAACCAAACCCGGCGCCACTATGTAGTCACATGTTGATCTCATGGCGGCACCTTTTACAACTGTAATTCGTTTACCTCATGCATGTCGTCTTTTATTTTCAATTTATTTAGCAATATATAGATGTAATGACAGCACCAGGGCTCGCTGCCCTTTTCTTTCCGGTCTCCTTGTGTTTCTAATCGACCGTGCAGTGGTTATATTCAGAATTTACCAGCATAGAACCCGCATCCGAGATACTTTGTCGTAGCTACGTGCGGGTTTCGGGGTTTTTGCGTGGAAGCGTGTTTTTTTCACTGGAGTTTTTCTTTCAGAGCCATCAAATTGCTGAGACTGACCGCGTCACAACAAGGTCGCGCGTCCAGTAAACAAATCGGTTAAAGTGAGTTGCGTGTTTTGCATGAGTGGAAAGTCGGAAAGTCCTCGCGCTCGGCTACCGGTACTTCATGTACCGGGGCGTCGAGTAAGAGGCCCGACGGCGAAGGTACCGATATTTTTTCTCGGTCTCCCCCGCTGATCGGAGGGCATCCTCACAGTCTGTGTTTTCAGGCAGTGTTTTACCCGATTTTACCGGCTGCAGCGAGGCTGTGCCCCTGGAGGCTTTCCTCCTATGGGGCTCGTTGTGGGTCTCTTTGTGGGCCCTTCCTCGCACGACGCCGGGTTTGCCTCCGAGTTGAGGCTTTGGTCGAAGGACTGTCGG